TCTTAATTCTGTTAAATTTCTTGGCCTAGAATAATTGACAACCTTTTCAATTTTTGAAGGATCAGGTTGGATTCCTTTCTCATTAACCACATGTCCTAAAAACTTTATTTCATTGGTACAAAAGTGACATTTGTCTGATTTGATTCTCAAATTAGCTTTTCTAATTCGATTAAAAACTAATTATAAGTGTTGTAAATGTTCCTGAAATGTTTTTGAGTGGATGTTTAGATCATTTATATGAACCTTAACAAACTTTTGTTTCTCTTTTTGAAAAATAGTATCCATTATTCTTTGAAAAGTAGCTGAAGCATTACATAATCCAAATGGCATTACTGTGAACTCATACAATCCTTCACTAGTAATAAAAGCAGTTTTCTCTATATCTTCTGGTCGAATTTTTATTTGCCAAAACCCTGAGAATAGATCTAAAGATGTGAACCAACAAGAGCCTTAAAGTGAGTCCAATAACTCATCTATTTATAGTAATGGGTAATTATCTTTCCTTGTGATTGTGTTAAGTTCTTTGTAATTAACACACATCTGCATCTGACCATTTTTCTTTTTGACTAAAACTATAGGTGCAGACCAAGGACTATTAGATAGTCTGATTACTCCTTATTCTAACATTTTATCTATTTCTGATGCTATCCATTCCTTTTCTTTTGGAGATGTTACATATGGTCTCCTTTTTATAGGATTTACATCTTCCGTGATGATTGCATATTGAGAAATATTAGTTTGTATTAATTCTAACTTCTCATTAGCAAATAAATCTTTATTCTTCTTTAGTAATTATTGTAACTACTGCTGCTGATCTTTTGTTAAGTTTCCTATTGGTGTTTCTTTTCCTTTTGATATTTCTACCAATTTATCACTTGCTTCAATTTGTGCTTTATTAATTGAAACAGCTATTTGATATTCCTGTAGATCTTGATACAATACTTTACAATATAAACAATCTTCTCCTTTTGATAATATTTTACACAAGCATCATCCTGGTCCTTTCCAATGCTTATTAGTCCTAAGGAGTTCAAGTTTGCTGAATTTTAAAAATTTAGTTGAATATTACTGACTGTTGATGGTTGTTATATTGTTATCAAAGGATACGTTCAGATAGTGTTGTGAGTTTTTGTATATTTCTTCAAGTTCTAAATCATCATGTTTTTCTTTAACAAAATCTATAGGAGTAAATACTTTTGGATCAATCTTGGAAAAGCACATGATTAGGATAACATCAGTTTCATTATTTTGTTTAATTGTCATAATTTGTTTATTTGTATCAATAACAACCTTTGCTTGCATAGTTATTCAATCATTTCTAAGTAGAACATTGTATCTAGAGGATTCAGTAATTATCATATCCTCTTTAATCTCAAACTTTCCTATTTTTATGCCTACTTTCAATATTTTCCTAAAGGCATTATCCTTGCTCTAATAACGCTAATTATTTATACATTGGTAGATGCTTCAATATCCTTATGCACAGAATCTAAGAAACTTTTAGTGATGATATATTCTATGGCTCCTGTATCAATCATCACATTAATTTTCCTTCCAAAAACTTCAGCTTCAGCAAAATATGCATCCTGGGATTTATGTTCCTCCCATTGAGCTTGAGCGATCATTCTAGATATCTCTAAATTTTCTAATATCTTTTGAAAATATTTAA